TAAGGCAACAAGATATCCTAAATGACATGATCCAGAGAAGAGAGATTGAGACACCTAGGAAAGGCAAAGATGGGAACTAGATTTTGTATGAAGATGAGAAGTTTGGAGTTTGGTTTTTCATATACATACATACATATATATATATATATATATATATATATATATATATATATATATATATATATATATATACATAATATACATACACACACATATGGGAGGGAGGGAGAGTGAGAGAGAGAGAGAGAGAGAGAGAGAGAGAGAGAGAAGAACACACAAGTACGGGACTTTGGGATATAAAGAATTAGGGCTGAGGAGAGAAGCCAAGCTAGAGATGTAGATCTGGGAATCATTCATAAAAAGGTGAAAGTCAAAGTCACATGAGCCAATGAGATTATTGAGGGAAAGTTTATTAGAGAGAAAAGAGCAGAAGGATGAGGACTGATCCTTAGAGCTAGCTCAGAATTGGAGACCTGAAAAAAAGAAGATAAGAGAAAGTGGTAAGTGGTCAGAGAAAAAAAGGTAGTGTAAAGTCATGGAAGCTGAGGAAAAGACTAGTTCTGGAAAAGAGGAGTGACTCTCACTTGCCTTTCGCATTTTCCTTGAAGATCAGAATGACCTAAGTTATAGACAAGTGGAGTAGATTATTTTTCAGACATTAGATGTTTTGAATACATGTAGAAGGTTTACCTAGATGGAGCATTTTGTTTAAATGTGTGGTTTTACAGAAGCTCCCATCCCTTTTGCTCTTTAGCCTTCAAGTCTAGAATGGGGCTCTTTACATAGCAGTCCTTCTTGTGGATAACAAGACAATCCTTACTCTCCTCATCATCTAACACTCCTTGAATGTCTGTCAAGCACACCTAATGTTTATCAAGTGGAAGGGACTGAGAGTCAAAATACCCAAGAGGTCTGAGTTTGACTCGTGGCTCTGCCACGTCCAAGAGCTGGGTGATTTGAGACAAAGTCGCTTTGAGTCTCTGAGCCTCAATTTCCTCATCTATAAATTGAGATCATATCAGAATGACTTCTAAATTTCCTACCAGTGTTAACCTTCTGTGACTGTGAAATAATTGTTCATTTCTCCTTTTTCTACAACCTAACAACAGCAACAAGCACCACAAATACTTGCCAATTAAAGAATTAGCTAGTCAGTTACGTAAATAATCTTGAATTGGTAAGCATTTTCCCCAGTCAGTTATTGTTTTGTTTTGTTTTGTTTTTCTGTATTGATATTGATGGTATCCACCTCAAAGGTCCTATTTGCCAAAAGTGATTTGTTCCCGAGTCTACTTGAAGGAATGAAAACACTTTGGAGGAGTAACAGACACCTTGACCAGCCTATGTTTGCAACCTGCTGGTGTCTGAATAACTGTGAGCACAGCTGAACTGAAGACTGTGAAAGTGACTCCTTTGTCACTGTCAGTGGCCCTGTTTGTTTTAATTTTTCTTTGACAATGGCTCTGAGAGTCATGATGCCCTTTCCTGCCTTTTGGAGCCTCTTGTATTTTTCTCCAAACAAAACAAACAAAAAGAATTCTGTTCAGATTTAAACAATGCCTGAGCAGAGCAGAATCTCATTTAGTATGCTTTGTATTTTAAAAAAAAATGACCATCCCTCTGAACACAGCTGCACAGTTTCATAAAATAGGTTTATTTTTCCATATTTTCTTAATTCTCTTATGAACTGTTTTATATTCAGTCATACTTTTAAATGACTTCTTTATTTGCCCAGTTAATCAGGCCACAGTATGAAGCTTCTGCCTGAAGATTTTTTTTCCTTTTATGTGTAAAACAGTAAAATGTCCTTTTGGGCAGATAAATTTATACATGAATTATGGACTACGATTTTAACAGGGGACTCATGGATAAGGGAACTCTGGCAACCATTGCAATTTGGCACCTCTGTCATTTCTGGTCTTAGAGAGTTATCTAAGGCTCTGAGGGGTTAATTAAGTGACTTTCACTCAGGGTCACACAACAAGCATGGGTCAGAGGTGAAACTAAGACCCAATGGAATTCCCCCTGACTTCCAGCTTGGCTCTCTATCCACTATGTAATGCTTTCTCTCTACATGCAACTTTTATTTTTTTAAGAGTTTTACTTCACATTATCCAATCCTGAAATTTATTTATAAAATCATTAATCACATTTTTACTTAGAAACACACAGTAAATACTGGGAGGGATCTGGGAACTCCCTCTATGAAAAAAAAAAGATTTAAATTGTGACTTTACTAGATAAAGAATTAGGGAATTACCCAAGGTCACTGCTAATTTCAGAAGCCGAATTTGAACTCATGTATTCTGAGACCACACCCAGTATTCTATCTACTATGTCAGGCTGCCACCATTTAGAAATTAAATCCTTGCATATTTGCCATATTTGACCTTATGTATCTCAAATTGTGTCTCGTGTTTCTACTTTGGAGCCACATTATAACCTTATTCTTTGGGCCCATTCATGAGAAAATTTTATAGAGAAAACTTTTTTGAGTACTCCAAATCCCCTTTGCATGGCTGCTGAAGTGAATTCCTCTTTCTAGCAAACAATGCTATAACAAATGTATTAACTTATATTTGTTATAGTTTCCAGTTCTGTAGTATACTTCTATTACTATCTGGTCACCGGTGATAGGATTTTACTAAGCAAAACATGCATACCAAACAAAGGTTATCCAGAGTTAGTTTCAGTTCACTTAGGTGCATCACATTGAAAATATGAGCTTTTAAAAACCAACACCTCTAGTCGAAATATAACAACTCCTTTAATCTAGGTTTGGGCATGTATGGCTTTTTAGACTTATGACAATTTGCATTTTTCTCTAAAGCAAAGACTTTAACCTGGGGTCCAGAAACTTTCAAATGACATATTTTGATAGCTGAATTTTTAAAGAAAATCCTTATATTTTATTTTATCCACGTAAAAATAAAGTATTTTTTGAGATGGGATCCATAGATTACATCAGATTGTTGAAGGGATCCAAGACACAAAAAGATTAAGGTCGTTCTATAGAAATCCTTGTCCAAAAATTTTTATAATGATTTTCAGTATTCTTTAAATTGAAGATTTTAGTGATTAAATAAAGATTTTGAGCATTTCAAAATCAGAGTTAGAAGACCTGAGTTTAAATGTCACTTTTACCCACGTGAAAGTTCCTTTTTTTCTCTTTGAGCCTGTTACCTCATCTGAAATTTGGGGATAATAGGAGCATTAGTGTACTTTCATCACAGAGTGTTTTGTAGATAAATTAATATTTAAGTGTGATACTGTTGTTGTTATTATTGTGATTCACTTTGGATAGCAGCAGCATTCCATCACTTTTTCTGCAAATTGTGACTGGCTGATAGCACTGGGCATTACCAGTTAGTTCTTTGCCAAATCAAGATTATCTGTGCCATTTCTAGGCTCATATAGCTCATTTTATAATTTATAATTCCCCTAAACCATTACTAGCTCTCCCTCTAGGCTTCTATCCATCTATCTCAACACACCTACCTTATTCCTCCTCACTCATCCTCCCATACGTTCTGTTTTTGTTCAGTCATATCCAACTCTTTGTGACCCCATGGGCCACACATCCTGTAGGGTTTTCTTGGCAAAGATACTAGAGTTGTTTGCCATTTCCTTCTCCAGTGGATTAAGGCAAACAGAGGTTAAGTGACTTGCCCAAAGTCATACAGCCAGTAAGTATCTTGAGGCCAGATTTGAACTTGATTTGTCCCGACTCCAGGCCCAGCATTCTATCCACTGAGACACCTTTTCCCATACATAATATATATAATATAGTAATATATTTTTCCCATACACAATCAATCCACAAAGACTTCAGAGTTATTTTGTTCTTTCTGCGGTTTGAATCAAGGCCTAATCATGTCATTTCAGACTTTGGGGTACAAATCACAGATTACTGGCAAAGATCTTCAAAAGCTTCCGTGGTGATGGCTTTTTAATTACTCCTACTGACAAACCCTACTTCTTTTTTTCCTTCTTTCTTTTAGACTAAGGCAACATAGTCTTGGAAGTACTAAGGTCTCTCTGCCTTTTTCAGTTTCTTCCTCCTTTGCCTTGTTTTAAAACCAGTAATGGCAAACCTAACCAACTATTAATGCATTCTAATCCTCACGATCACCTATATTCTTTACATGAAATGATTTGTAGATATCTCCATAATGGACCCCTGGGACTTTGAATCATATGATCAAATGTACGGCTTCTAGAAGGGAAAAAAAAAATCCTAATCAATTTCTTCGTGTTTAAGAAAATAGTTGATCTTTTGTTTTCCATATAATTTTGTTGTCACAGGGAACTCCTAAATGAGGCAATCTCTTTTGCCAACACTAGTAAACACCTTCTTTGCAATTTATAGTCTTAGCAAGGATCTTAGAACATATAGAGATAAAGTGACTTGCCCAAGGTCACACAGCCACTACGTTTCAGAATTGGGACTTCAATCCAGGTCTTCTTGGTGCCGATGTTAACTCTCTATCCATCAGGTCACACTGTCTCTCATTTGATCAACACTTAGACCAATTAAGTCACAATAATTTCTTGCTCTAATTTGATTCCTATCATGGACATTTCAGGGGGAAAAAAAAACAACAACCCATGTTCTCAGAATGTATTTTCTTGTAGAAAAGAAGGAAGCACTCCCTTTATTACATGGCAAACAGGCTCATCCCACACTGCTGTCACAAGGGCTTTTTAAATACATTTTAAAAAATGCTTGACTTGAGTTGTGCAAACTTTCTCAAGCCCTTCCTTCATAATTGCCTCCCAATGTGAGATTTGTCCCAGTCTTGTTTCTAAAAATACTCATTCTTTTCATTTCCTTCATGTTTACATGCTTTTACAGTAGTGTGCAGTTGACTTCAAATTCCCCTGAATGTGTTCTAAGATGCCAGTAAACAAAGCTAACACTTTGTGTCTGATGCACTGCAAAGAGATAAGAGGATATTTTCATTCATTTTCTCTGTTTTTTTTTTCCTCTCAAATCCTAGCTTGGAAAACAGAAACTAGCTGCCAGTGTGATGGAGGCAAATGCTCCCCAGATCCACAGACAAACAGCAGCAGCAGAAGCCTCTCCACTGCGCCCAATCTCTGTGGTACCAGTTAATCAATCTTCTTTTTCGCCTGACAGTGGCCCGTGCCTGGCATCCTCCAGCCTGCCACCCTTTGGTGACCCTATGTCTTCACGCTTTCCTAAACCCTTGGCCCCCTTACACTGCTCCTATAAATACCCTTTCCTAGCTCCTGACAGCGTTATCCCCAGCAGCGACACAACCACCGCCACCGCCACTGCCTCTTTTATCTCAGACTTGTCCCGGAGTGAGCCTTCCTCCCGCTCCGTGAGCGAGATCTCATCTGCCATTCTAGATGAGCTTCAGACTTCTTCTAACTATGCTCCTACTGACTGCCCTGAAACACCTTCCCCAACCTTGAATGAGATGTCTGCTGTGACAGATGGCACCACCTTAAACACCACAGCTGCCACTCATGTAATTATTCATCCTTCCTCGCTCTCTGCCTTCTTGGAACAGGTCTCCAAAGGGGAAAATAACACATTTCTTGTATGCCATCTCATTTTGCAGCTGAACATTTCTATCCTCACAGTTGCTTATTATTAATCTGGTCCTACACAGTCCAAGAGGACTATTCATTTGTTACAATTATATTAGTAAAAATACTGGGTATTGTTTTTTTTTTTTAGACTGAACCCGTAATTTTATTGGTAAAGGGAAATCACTAGGAGAAAACTCCTACCAATGCAGTAGGGAATTTGCTTTGCAGTTTATAGTCTGAGATTTGCTTGGGGGCACATCAGAAGAGGGACTGGAATCCAGAGTTTCCTAACTCCAAGGTCTTTACTCAACATATACCATGCCCCTCCCCATCCCCACCTCTCTCCTCTCTCTCCTCTCTCTCTCTCTCTCTCTCTCTCTCTCTCTCTCTCTCTCTCTCTCTCTCTCTCTCTCTCTCTCTCTCTCTCCCTGTCTCTCCCTCTCTCTCTCTCTCTCTACCTCTACCTATCTCTCTCCCTCTCTACCCACACCCCCCACACACACATACAGTTGAACAAGCCAAGTGTAAAGTCTTAATTCACTTGTTATTTTTATGTTTATAATGAATGGATTATTTAAAGTTATCCTGTAGTGACTTGCATTAATTAAAAGTGAGCCCAGAAATTTTGACAGGTGTATTTTACAACATTGGCAGAGTTTTCAGGGAAGGCCACAGACAAAGAAGCTTAAATAAAAATATCCCAGCCCCATGATGTTGCCATTTTTTTAGACAACAGTTTACCTAGAGATTCATATTAACATGTCCTATATGAGTATCTAACATTGTTTTGTTCCCCAGAGAAATGGTTACCAACTACATGAGTCTTTTAACTAACCAGTTACTTCTTTTGCGGGCTCTCATCTGTCTCACAGGAATGAATGCTGTAAATAATTTTAATTGATGTTTTTATAGTTTTGCCCTTCAGGAATGATTTCTTTATGAGTCATTCCAGGGAATGCTAACTTCTGAATAAATGTATTTATCCTGTTATATATGTGTCATGTGTCCAGGAAGATTTGAGTATGTTTGTCATTTTTATTTGTGTGAATGTTTGTGTAAAAGCAAGTAGAAGAGGCTGTTTCATTGAATTTAGTAACTAAATTATGAAATTCTTCAAAGAAGTTTCCTGGTGACATTAAAAGTATGATGGACATAGAAGTGAGGAAAGGGGAAGGGGCAAACATTTATAAAGCTCCTACTGTGTACTAAGTACTTTACAAATATTATCTCATTTGATCAGAATATGATTTGTGAACTAACAGACTTCCTTAGGGTATTTCTGGTATCAGTTTTTTAAATCTGTATAATTCATTGCCTGAAAATTGTAGCTTAAAATAAATATGAGAGAAGCCAACAAATAGGACTTTTTAGATAAAAGTGATCATATGATAAAATTTCAAATAAGTGCTGTCAGAATGACAATTTCCTGTGTGCATGGTTCATATTCTATGTCAGGGTCATAAATAAACTGATTCCATATTCCACAGTAATGAAATGTTACAAGCCACATGTTTCCAGATACCATAATTATAGAAATTGACCATTATTTTTATTAGACTCTTTAGCTATATAGCCAAAGAATCTCTATAAAATTTTATACTGAAGGAGCTCTTTTTACATGAAATAGTCTCATCTATCAGAACCCAAATCTCCTATTTGCTTAGTGCTGTTCTCTGCTAAGGGGCTCTGTGGATATGGGCTTATTGTTTGCTCCTAGCTGCCTTTCCACAGCCCAGGAGTCCCACAATAGCCTATGTGATGTAGGACCAATTGTAGAGACAGGTTATATTTTGTTTAATTTTTGAAGTTTGGATAAACCTCTGAGAACTGTCAGTTCCTGCTTATTGAGTCCTCCCTATCATTGTGAGGTGCACCAAACCGGCCAACGTCAGAACTTTATCAAACAGCTCTCTACCCTATTTGAGTAATCGGAAGACAGGAAAGACTGTCGGATTGCATAAATCAGAAAAACAACCCAGAAGAGATCAGTGTAGATCAGAGGTCTATAGGTCTATGAGGGCCTTATCCTGACACAACGCAGTGACGCTTTTCTTGTATTTTCCCCCCAATTGCCCTATGATGTATAAAACCAAGCAGATGTGTTCCTTTCGTTAATTACTTTGGGGAGGAAACTTTCCCAAGACATCCGCCATTACTATTGAGAAATATGATAGCTGACGTACAAGTACTGAATATCAGGAATTAGGTCACATCTATAGGAGCAAAGTTTCTCTTCTTTTTCATTTTAACTCTACTGCTAAGAGCAGGGAACATTTAGAATCTTGGCCTTTAGAACCCCATTTTGTCAGGAACTTTCTAGTATGGTCTCAAGTACCCTAACATCTTCCCTGCACAAAGAAGATGGAGGTCTAGGATGGTAACATTGCACCGAGAGAGAGAAAACAGACACAAGGAAAACACCCTGCTCCTATGGTGATGGATTTTCAGTTTTCAGAACTAGGGATGTGATGACTGATTTCTGTTCTGAGGAAGGCACTATGTTCCTGGCCTTCATTAAGTGAAATGGGTATAGTGACTTTATGTATTGACTGGGATGCCTTCTCATTTCCCTCAGGCTCAGATAACAGTGAATGGGCGCTCAGGCGGGGCTACCAGTCCAATGAGTTACTTTCAGAGACCATTCTCCCCGTCAGCCTACTCTCTACCAGCTTCACTCAATTCAAGCATTATCATGCAGCATGGAAGGACAATTGGTAAGAAAATGAGATTTCTTCTATGGGAGTTTGTGGGTTCTACTTGCTTCCTGTCTTCTCCAACATACTTGAAATACTTGAAAAAAAATAGGACTTATTTGAGGAACAAAGGAGTCAACATGAAATAAAAGCCTCCACTATTTGTATACCTCCCAGGCCTATTTGATCCGAGGATGGTATTGGGAAGAGAAGATTCAATACCATAGGAGATTAGTTCTATTGCGTTTTGGCAAAGGTCACTAAGTTATCTTGTTACTAAGGACGTCAAGTGCCTACCATCTGTCTCACCTACATTCCATCCTTTTCACACCACTGTGACCAGCCTCGCTCAGACCATCACTACTACTTATCTGTATATATTATAATAGATCCTTAACTGGCCTCCCTACCCCGGTCATTCTCTCCTTTCTGTCCTTCTTTTCTGGCTACTAAAGTGTAGCCTAAATGCACAAATCTGATCACACTACCCTCCCCACCTATGCTTGAAAACTTTCAGGATTCCTCATATCCTCCAGGAGAAAAATATAAATTCCTGACCCTGGTATTTCAAGCCCTCCATGATCTAGTTCCAACCTGCCTTTTTAAGCTACATTATTCCCTTTCATGTACTCTATCTATATTGAGACTTTTTGTACTATTTTCTGTTTCCTGCCTTCTGCCACCTTTGTGCAAACCATCCACCATGCCCAGAATGGATTGGCTCTACACTCTTCTTAGGGACATCCTTCTTTTTCTTCAAGGCCTGACTGTGTCAACCACTTCGTGAAACCTTCTCTTGTCCCCTGCCCAACCATTTCATCATACTATACTTGCTCAATACATACTGGAGTAGATTGACCTATCCTATTTTTTTAATCACATTCTAAATTGAATTATAAGTATGTGTCATGTTTCATCTCCCAGTAAAACTCAAGTTCCTTAAGGCAGAGACTTTTTAAAATAATTTTTAAAATTTTTAAAAAATTTATGGCACAGACTTTTCAAAAAAAATTTTTTTTTAATTTCTGGCACAGCAGTAAGTACCTAATACCTAAAAACATTCCTTTGTTGAATTGATTAGGTTCAGCAGAAAGAGTCCATATAGCTTGGAGCCAAAAAAAAAAAAAAGAACTGACTTGCAGTCATTGGAAGCTTGCTATTTTGTTGGAAAGCTCTCATTTTGACAAAGTTTTTCTCCTCATAAGACCTGGAGGTTAAATCATTTCCCACAAGGGACAGATAATTTGTCATGTAATGTCTTCACAATTAGAGATGTTTAACAATGGAAAGGACAGCCTTGAAAAGTAATGAACTCCCTGTCACTTTGAATATTCAGGGAGAAGCTAGATGCTTATCTGTCAGCATTCGGAAAAGTATTCTGACATTTGGTGGAAGATTGGATTAAGTGACATCTAAGGTCCCTGTAAGGGCATCTGAGTGGCACAATGAATAGAACACTGGGCTTGGAATCAAGAAGACTCATCTTTATGAGTTCAAATCTAGCCTCAGATATTTGCTAGTTGTATGCCCTAGACAAGTCACTTCACCCTGTTTGCCTCAGTTTCCACATCTGTAAAAACAGTCTGGAGAAGGAAATGGCAAAGCATTCCAATGTCTTTGTTAAGAAAACCCCAAATGGGGTCACAAAGAGTTGGATATAACTGAAACAACTCAACATTGACAATATCACTATGTAGTGTTAAGTGAAAACTTTATGCACTAAAAAACTTTGGAACACTTTAGAAGCTCATTTATCACTCAGATCACAAAATTCAGAAACAACTCAGGGTTGAACCTCTTTTCGCTGGTATCAGAGAGGCAGAAGGAACATAGGATTTGAAGCATAAGACATAAATTCAAGTCCTAGCCGGCCCTTGAGCCATTGTTTGCGTATGCCAGGTCTAATTCAGCTAAGTTATTTGACAAATAAGGAAACTGAGGCTCAAAGTGGGTAAGTGACTTGCCAAATCCTTACTGTCCCATGTTTTTGTATGTACTAGCTAAGATTTAAAAAAAAATTAAATACAATAAAACTTTATTTAAAAATATAAAAACCATTCTTAGCTGTGGCCTTACAAAAAATAGGTGGCAGTCAGGATTTGGCCTGCAGATTATATATCACTGACCACTGGTCTAGACAATCCCTAAGGTCCTTTCCAATTTCAGCTATAATTTATGAACCTAATGAACTAGGCAATTTCCAGGAATAGATGTAAATATGGGGAATACAGTAAATCAATTATTTTTAGAACCACTTCGGGAGGAAAATTGGGAATAGAGATTTGGGTTGGAAAAACAGCAGAGCCCTTCCCCCCTGACTTCTCAACTGAGAAGGAAGACCTAGCAAGTGGGCATGTTGACACAGCTACACACTTGAATGTCAGTTAGGCCCTGTGCATGTTGGGTACTCACAATCCCAGGCCCTGAAACCATATAGAGCCGATGCCAGGAGACCACATAGTGTTCTTCCTCACCTACACCAAACACCTTTAATACAGAACATTAAAAGAATGTCTTATGACTCTTTAGGTTACCTGATGGCCTAATATGCTAATGGCTGGCACCAGCAGCTGACTTTTTGAATCACCTTTTTAAAGTCTTGCTTTATGGCTTCTTTCCTTAGATGACTTAAGGAATTCACTACCAACAGACCTGGAAAGTAGTTTTTAAAGGGGAAGGATCGATGTTATTGCTAATTTAGACTGGAAGATGTAGACATTGAATGTTTAAAGGTCTTTGTAAAATTACACCTTGATGAAAGCAGAATCTTTGAATTCCAATTAACGTAAGTCAGTAATTATTGATTTGGATTCCAGTTAACATAAGTCAATATTAAGTGCCAGGTTGAGCATCTAGCTGATTCAGTGCATAGAGCGCTGGCCCTGGTGTCAGGAAGAACTGAGTCCAAATCCAGCCTCAGACGTTTACAAGCCATGTGCCACTGGGCAAGTCACTTAACCTGTTTGCCTTAATCCATTGGAAAAGGAAACAGCAAACCGCTCTAGTATCTTTGCCAAGAAAACCCACATGGACAGTACTGGTGTGCCATGGTCCATAGGGTCACCAAGAGTCAGAAACAACCGAAAAATGTGCCAGGGCTAAGGGCTAAGCGCTAAGGATAAAAAAAAAAAGGGGCCTAAACAGTACCTGGCCTCAAGGAGCTTAAAATCTAAAGGAGGAGACAATATGAAAAAACTCTATACAAACAAGATGTAGACAAGAAAAATTACAAATAAGGAGATTCATTATCATTTTCCTAGATAGAGGATTTTTTTTCCTAGCTGAATCTAATTCATTTTTCCTAGCTAAAATATTTGACAAAAAGGCACTTGGACTCACACTATTAATTCTAATTAATCTAGATTCTACTAAGTCTACTTAGTCTACTAATTCTACTAAGTCTAGAAAAATACCTTTCTATACCTGATCATAAAGAACTGTGTGTTTTTAGTATGGTTTTGTTAAATTATGTTCCCATATGCATTCAAGAAAAATTTGTTTCTGAAATGGGAATGTATTTCCCTACTAGGGATCATAGAATGTTAGAAATAGAAGGGATCTTATAGATTATCTGTACCAAGGTCCTTAACCATTTTTTGTGTTGTGGACCCCTAGAGCTATCTAATGAAACCTATGGGCCCCCAATCAGAATAATGGTTTTTCTTTTATAATTTTATCATCATTGAAGGAAATGCTATATTTTAGTTAGCATTTAGTGAAAATAAAGATGGAATTTTCCCATTCAAGTTCACATATCCCCTGAAATCTATTTCTGGACCTCAAACCAAGGACCCTGGATCTAGACCAGCTTGTTCTTATAGTGGGCAGTCTTTCTTCTATACTGTTTCCAATACTTCAAACATATCCTTCAGAAATACTCTGATGCTTTAAAAATTTCCAATGTAGTTTTATTTTTTGCTTTTTAAAGCCTTTATTGGATTCAGAAAATCTGCATTTGAGTCCCACCCTATGATCCAGGATTTATATGTATTACCCTATGTGACTTTGGGAAAGCCACTCTTCCCCCACCCTGCCTCAGTTTCCTCATCTGTAACCTGAGGGGGCCCTCCCAGGTCAACACCTATTATCCTCTGCTTTGTGATTCCATATGAGCTATTGTTTTTCTCAGCTCAAAGTTAGATCCACTTTATAGAATATTTCTGTTATTGCTCTGTGTTAAGTTCTACACTATCACAATAGTTCATTTGATAGCAGGTCTTGGTACAGTGAGATTCCACTACACTCAAGATTTTTCATTAAATTTCATCTCAAAAATGAAATGAAATCCACACTTACTGTTCTGGCATATACCATTTTTGCTAAGGAAGAAATCCATAGGATGAGAGGATTTAGATTGGGAAGAGACATTGGGGACAAATGAGCCCTGACCCCCTGATAATGCACTTGAGTAAACTGAGGCCTAGAGAAGGGAAACTCACAGATAGTAAATGCCAGAGCCACGGTTTGAAACCAGATCCTAGCATTCTAAATCCAGAACATTTATTTTGGTTATTCAACCCTTGGATATAAACAGGCTCTAATTTTTTTTTGGCTTAATTATTGGCAAAAAAAAAACCCCAATAAATAGCCTATATGACTGTACTACAGTATACAGAGACAGGGAAGGGTTTCTGAACACTCATGGAATACAAGTTCTTGTTGTTGCTATTCATTCATTTTCAGACTCTGTGACCCTATTTGGGGTTTTCTTGGCAAAAATACTAGAACAGTTTGCCATTTCTGTCTCCAGGTCATTTTATAGATAAATAAACTGAGGCAAACAGGGTTAGGTGACTTGTCTAGGGTCACACAGCTAGTAAGTATCTAAGGCCAGATTTGAACTTTAGAAGAAGGCAAGTCCTTCTGCCTGTAGGCCCAACACTCTATTCATTACGCCACCTAGCTGTCTTTGACAAGCAGAAAATAAGAGCCTAATATGTTTACTATACTGTTCTAGGTGTTAAGGGAGACAGAAAGTTTAGGTAAGACAGAGTTTTACTTTCAAGGGGATGATGGCCTTAGCAGGGCAATAAGATAGAAACACAGATGGATAAAAAGCACAAAATTGCACGCTGAGTGCATCAGAGCAGAGGTATAAATGCTCTGCTGGGACTCCTGAGTGCTGGCTGAATCAGACGCAAATGTGCTTAACAAAATAAAAACAAATAGAACAAGACATAGAGAACATTACCTTTTAGAACCAAGTCAGAATGTGGGATTCTTATGTACAGATTTGTGAATTTGATAGGGAATTCACAGGAAATAATTCTTCTCAAGATCTCAAGGGGAAAGAAGATCTTTACCTAACTAAGGACTGAAGAAAAGCTTCTTGGAGCAGGTGATATTTAAGTGGGTCCCTAACCAATGCATAGGAATTTAATAGGTTGATTGGGAAAGAGGGGAGCATTCAGTCATAGGAAACAGCCTCATAAAGATGGAAATAGGAGTGGGTATATTCAACAAATATCATTGATCTTCCTCTTAATAAAGCCTTGTCTCCAAATGAAAAATCAGTGAAATACAGATGATAGTGATGGAAATACCTTAAAAACATGGTATCAATGAATGCTCTTCTATAGCTACATGTTTTATACTGCTAGTCCACATCTTAAATATGTGTATCCATATATAGTTACCTTTTTTTGCAGTATTTATTAACTATATCATTCCATTAAATTGTTTCCACAGAGTCCACAGACACATATTCCCAGCATGCCCATTCTCTGGATGGTAGCTCTGCAAGCAGTACAATACCCATCTATAGATCTTCAGAGGAAGAGAAGAAAGTGACAGTGATTAAAGCCCCCCACTATGCAGGCATTGGGCCAGTAGATGAGTCTGGAATCCCTACAGCAATTAGAACGGTAAGAAAGGCTGGAATTTGCCTCTCTGTCATTGTGAGTAGACCCTCACAAAGAGCCAATTGTCAACAGCGGTGGGTTTTTTTTTTTTGCATTCTTATGGTCTTATATAATGGGGGAATACACTGTGTAAAATCTGTGTGCTCTTGAATACGATGCCGCATATGGCAGGAGGGAAATGTTGATTGGCAATAATTGGACAGCTTCAGCTTTTTCATTTTCATTATGTACTTGTCAGAGCTATAATTTATAGCATACATTTTCCCTCCCTTTTCACTAATGAGCTTTAGGACTGCCGAGAGAAAATGGAAGAGCCAGGAATGCAGGAATGCTTTAGTTCAATTTTATTCCCATGTGCCTTGCTGAGAAGCCAAGAGATTTGTTTCTTGAAATGGATGTGTGTAACCCTGGGTGGGAGGAGGCGTCTGCTGGGAGCTGGTATTTTTGTGAGCTAAAGGGGTGGGAAGGGAGATAATGACGTTTTATTGTTAGCAATGAGGAACCTCCAACTGCAGTAATTGACACATTTTGGTGGACACCATTCTCCCGGCTCCACCCCCCTTCACAGTCACAGCTGAGAGCTCTCTGAGGATGACGAGGAATGTGTTTGGGACTTTTTTAAAAAAAATTCTTTAAACTCCAGTGACTCTGCTCAAGGCTGTTAGGTTCTTCTGGCTAGTCTCTGCAGCAGCAGCAGGGGTAACTGTGGAAGGCAAATCCTTGCTTACTAAGTCCATCTGGACAGAAAGTTTGGTGCTACCTGGAGAGAGGAGACCCTAATGACAGCCAGGATGAGAGCAGCAACACCTCTACAGGTGAAATTGGGGGGAGGGGCAGGCCTGGAGCAGTTCTTATACGTGCTTTGCCTGCCAGCACCAACATATGGGGGTATGGGGGTGCCAGAGCTGGTTGGTGGGAACACAGACCATTCCTAGAAAAGGAATAGATGGAATTAAGGAATGGGATAGATAATCAGGGGGAAAAAAACACAACAGTGGTAATATTGGAGCATCCTCAATAAGGGCATACTATCTGGTTTTTATTCTCTCTTTTATGGGTCTTTATTGTGTGAGAATTCAAGATACTGTATACAGATAGAGCACTTTTTGGATGGAATCTTTAGATAGAAACGCTACAGATTTTTAACCTACAAGTAAATCTTCAAGTGTCTTGGTTAAGTTTGAGCAGTCTTTTCAAATAATATATTGCTTTGATTGTAGGTCTGTTTTCTAAGCCTCATATTGTAATCATCACTTACCTACATTGGAACTGACGTGTCAATATATTAATGAGATGACAGGGAAAAAAAGAGGTTTAGGGACTGACTGAAATGTCAGATTGATAAGGAGGGCATGCTTTCTTCATGTAACTTTATACATGGGTAGACAATCTATTAGTATAGATAGCTGCACATAAATACGCACTTATGTGTGTGTGCGCACCTATATACACCTGTACACCAAGTATGTATCTTTATGTGTCTAAATGTCTAACACTGCATGCAAATAGTGCTATTAGAAGAGAGTGACAAATTCCAATGACGCATTCACTAGTGGATGCAGGTCATTGATTCTGATTGATACCCGCGAAGGGAAAGTGTAGACACAATTAGGTGCTCCTGGATCTCAATAGCGATCAGTTTCTGTTCAGAAAAACTGAGCTCAATGCATTTGTGGGAACAAATTTGTCTCCCTCTGCATTTAAAATGAATAAAAGTTGGTACAATAGATAGCACTGTGTCTGCTTTATGTCTTTATGTCAAGACCTCTGCATTTTTCCTGTTTAGCTTTTAAAAACTAAAGTCTAGAATATTGTGGATGTTTAACTAAGAATGCAGTGGTATTAAGTATGCATAGACTAGCATAGAATATTCTGAAAAGTGAAAAGCAATTTATCCTCTTGTCTATAGAGATTGTCAGAGCTATAATTTATAGTATACATTTTCCCTCCCTTTTCACTAATCAGCTCAGAGATCAGAATTTGCCTTTCTTCATAATAGGGATAGGGACTGACCTATGAGTTCATCAGTATAGAGGATTCTCCAGTGAAGAACTGTGCCCCCCCACCCCAATGCAGAATGTTGTATTCTCTGAAATTTGTAGTCTTAGAGTGTTGTTTTGGGTAGTTAAGTGACTCATCCAGGGTCTCACAGCTAGTGTGTGTCAGAGGCCAGACTTGACCTTAAGTAGGCTACCGCTATCCTTTAGGCCACACTGCCTGTCTTTCTTCACCATGAAAATGTAGAATGCCTAGGTCCAGATTGCAAGAACTATTTTTTGCATGGTGTTTTGGAAGAAATACCGATGAGTCAGATGTCTTGGCCTCTGTGACCAGCTCCACCACTTTAAGTTGTATAACCTTAGACAAGTCATTTAAACTGTCCAAGCCCTCAGTTTCCGCATCTGTCCATGGGGATTGTGAAGGGAATAAGCATTTATATAGCACCTACTTTGTGTCAGGCATTGTTGTGTTATGTACTTTACAAATATCTTATTTGAGTCTCACAACAACCTGGCAAAATTGATGCTGTTATTATCCCCATTTTACAGTTAAGGAAACTAAGGCAGACAGTAAGTAAGTGACTTGCCAAGGGTCACAGAACTAGTAAGTGTCTGAGGCCAGATTTGAATTCAGGTCTTCCTGACTCCAGGCCTGGCGCTTTATCCACCACGCCAACTACTTACCTCACTTGGGAATGCTTTCAGTACTCACCTCGTCCAGCACCAGGGGCTTGAGAATATTATATGAGATAGTAAATATAGAAGCACTTTGTAAATTATAAAGTACTATCTTTACATACTTTATCATGGGCCTTGGAAATTATCCTTACTTTAAGGAAGGAGTTAAAAGCATCACGGAACATTGGAAATCTTTTCTCTTTACATCTGTTTCCAAACCTGAGTCAGAATCCTAGAGAGGATGTATAAGTATAGCTTTCTTGCTCAATGTTCAGTCACGCTTCATCTGAGCCAGCGAATGCTTTAAAAAAATGCATTTTTCATCTTTTCAGTTGCCTCCCAAGGCCATCCATTTAGGAACCAAAGGTTATTAACCTCAGATCCTTCACATTAGCTACTTGACATCAATCACCAACACAGTCATGGACAGAATATGCCTCTGCAATTAAAGTGAGAAGACCTGGATCCCAATCCAAGCTCTGGAATTTACTGTGTGACCTTGAGCACATCACTCATCTGTGGGGCCTCAGTATCCACATCTATGAAATGGGGATATTAGCTACCTCAAAAGGGCTGCTGTGAGGTCGAGATGAGATGATGAAGCTACGCTTTGGTTGGAAGGCACCATATGGTCCCTATTGTCATCTTTGTATTTCCCCCAGTGACTGATGTAGTGTCTTGGCCACAGCAGCCACTTAGTAATGTT